AGGGGGGATTTGAGGAGGTTTAGGGAGGTTTCGAGGAGGTTTGGGGGGGTTTAGGGAGATTTTGGGGGGGTTTGGGGGTGTTTTGGGGGGTGTTTGGGAAGGTTTGGGGAGGTTTGGGGGGGGTTTAGGGAGATTTTGGGGGGATTTGGGAAAGTTTAGGGAGGTTTAGGGGGAATTTGGGGAGGATTGGGGGAGGTTTAGAGGGGATTTGGGGAGGTTTAAGGGAGATTTCAGGAGGATTAGGGGGGATTTGGGGAGGTTTAGGTGGGATTTGGGGCAATTTAGGGGGGATTTGGGAGGTTTAGGGGGGTTTGAGGAGGTTTAGAGGGGATTTGAGGAAGTTTAGAGGGGATTTGGGGCAGTTTAGGGGGGATTTGAGGAGGTTTAGGGAGGTTTCGAGGAGGTTTGGGGGGGTTTAGGGAGATTTTGGGGGGATTTGGGAAAGTTTAGGGAGGTTTAGGGGGAATTTGGGGAGGATTGGGGGAGGTTTAGAGGGGATTTGGGGAGGTTTAGAGAGATTTAGGAGGGATTTGGGGAGTTTTAAGGGAGATTTCAGGAGGATTAGGGGGGATTTGGGCAGGTTTAGGTGGGATTTGGGGCAATTTAGGGGGGATTTGAGGAGGTTTAGGTGGGATTCGAGGAGTTTTAGGGGGGATTTGTGGAGGTTTGGAGGGGATTTGGGGAAGTTTAAGGAGGCTTAGAGGGTATTTGGGGAGATTTAGAAGAAATTTGGGGAGGTTTGAGGAGAATTTGGGGGAATTTAGGAATATTTTTAAGGTCCCTGTGTTGTTTTTGTGGTTCCTTGCCATTTTTTGAGCTCCCTGGGTTGTTTTTTTGGGGTCTTTTTCTGTTTTTTGGGTGACATCTCACCTTAAATTCTCTTTTTTCCCCCCTCAGGAACGAGCAGGAGTGAAAATGATCCTGATCCAAGACGGTTCCCAAAACACCAACGTGGACAAACCCCTGCGGATCATCGGCGAGCCTTACAAAGTGCAAGTGAGAAACCCCCAAAAATCCCTGAAGTGACCCCAAAATACCCCAAAATGTGAAGAATTCACCCCAAAAAACCTCCCCAAATTGGCAGCAAGCCTGTGAGATGGTGCTGGACATCCTGAGGGAGCGGGACCAGGGAGGATTCGGAGACCGCTCGGATTACGGCGCCCGCCTGGGCGGGGGGATCGACGTGAGTGGGAGCCCGGAGTCACCCCGAAACTACCCTGGAGTCCCCCCGAAACTACCCTGGAGTCCCCCCGAAACTACCCTGGAGTCCCCCCGAAACTACCCTGGAGTCCCCCCGAAACTACCCTGGAGTCCCCCCGAAACTACCCTGGAGTCCCCCCGAAACTACCCTGGAGTCCCCCCGAAACTACCCTGGAGTCCCCCCGAAACTACCCTGGAGTCCCCCCGAAACTACCCTGGAGTCCCCCCGAAACTACCCTGGAGTCCCCCCGAAACTACCCTGGAGTCCCCCCGAAACTACCCTGGAGTCACCCCTGGAATCGCCCCAAAATTACCCTGAAATCATTCCAAAATCAGCCCAAAAGTCACCCCAAAATTACCCTGGAGTCA